AACTATCAGTTTAGAATTAGACATGACGTTCTAATGGAGTCGATTCGCAAATCACGATTCTACGATACCAGCCGTGAACTTGGCATTGAGTCGGATCAGAGGCTAGAGGGTGCACGTGTGAGGCGCCGATTTGTAATTTCTTTTCTAATTCTACCTTTGGAGTCAATGGTGGCCTCGTAACTGGGTTGGTGGACTTGAGATTTTAGCACGGATTCAGTTCTAATCTCAAACCTCCTCCGTGTGGCAAAGAACACCATCTGTGACGTCAGCAAATAACGGCCTCAGGGACAGTCAGTCAGTCCATTGGCACATCAGCCCACCCTTGCCAGACTCCACTTGACGATAAAATTTAATTCAAGTTAAACTCTAACTATGCTACATGAGGCTTAAATATGTTTTATTATGTGTGAAAAACTCATTTCGATTACCGTCGATAAGTTTTCATGTTTCATTTTGTATTATAATGAGCCATTTCACGAAAATTCATGCACGCCACCAATTAATTTGTTAATTATAGTTGTATCGATTAAAGGAAACGGAGAAACGACTGATTATTTCTTTGTAACATTAAAAATGTTCCAAAGAAATAATATTTTTATAAACTAAGTGCGCAACGTTCTTTCCTAATACTTTCATTCTGGGTATTTAAAAAAATGCCTCCTCTGTACAGAATGTATATTAAGGCATGGTCCACCACGTGACCCCACTGCGGATTAGCGGACTTCACATACCTATCTTCGAAATATTTTTTGTTATTATTTAATATAAATTAAAAAAAAAAAAAGTCATCCCTAATAGATTAACAATAAATACAGTTATGTATATACTTGCTTGTACTTATGTTATCATTTCTGTCTTGTTTCTGAGGATTCATTTATAACCAACGTTGAGCCTTGATTAGTGATATTAAGAAACCTACATTTTTAGACTCTAGGAACCGATTTTATATTCAAAAGCGTCGAACGTCAATACGAGTGATCAATGTCCGACTACAATATTTCCGATAGCCCCATGAGAACATCTTTTATATCGCTTTTTGCACGAAGATAATCCACGGTCTAGCAATTAGAGAGGCTAAGCGAACGTCAATAGTTTTTGCCGTGTCATGTTATCTAACATATAGGCCGCTAAGATAATATAAAGCTATACATTTAAAACATCTATTTCCAAGAAAGAAACTGGACAAAGTAACTAACCAAATCCCTGTGTAATCAAAGTCTGATAACATCCTCAACCTATTAAGCCTAAATATATTGTTAAGCACTTACATAAATTTGATGAATAATAAGAAAAATATGTTTATTGCAAAAACAAGACTTGTAAATTATTAACATGCAATATAATATATAAAAGGCAAGATCTGTTTGCAGATAACACTTAAATACTAAAACGAGAATATTTTTCTGTTACTCAATAAACAGGCCTGTATTAATGATTAATAAATTTAAAAAAAAATTAAAATTACATAAAAATACACATAAAAAACAGTCTCAGACAAGCAGTAATCAAGCACTAGTACCAGAGTCTACAGCAAAACTTTGTCCTAAACGATAAGTCACACTCGACTTTGTTTACGTTCAAAGTCAAAGTCATATCTGAATGTACGAAATATTACGTTCCGATAAAAAGGGCTCCTAACATACAGAAACAACTCGCGGAGTTTATCTTATACGAACACAAACACACACATTTTATGTTACAAGGGCGTGGCATTGACATTGCCTTAGCGACTGTGGGCTATTGGTACGCGGCTCACGAACTTATCGATTGTATAGAGTTATGGACAATGGAAGCTAATACAAATAGCGAAGGAGCAATTGCATCGGTGATACTGTTAAATAATAATTTTCAACAAAAAAAAAACGACTTCAAACCGGAAACTAAAAAACATTGTTGATAACTTTAACATTTGAGGATTGTCCTTGATATCTCTAGGATGCATTCATCAGATCCGGGTTTCCTTATCATGGTACCACCCTTGGGATATCCCCTTTCCAACAAAAAAATAATCATCAAAATTGGTTCAAAAACGACGAAGTTATCCGCGAACACAAAAAATATATATACGGTCAAATTGAGAAACCTCCTTTTTTGAAGTCGGTTAAAAACCGTAATTAAAAGTTTTTTTTTGGCAAGAAAGCTGTCGGCTCACCTGAGTTAAGTGATAACCGCCGCCCATGGATATTTACAACGCCCGGAGGGTTACAAACGACTACTTTTCAATTAAGTGGGCCCCGGCTACCTCACTCACCAGACGAATCGCAGATGCGTAACACTTCCACTTCACGCCGGTCTTCTGTGAAGCCATGGTGCTTCCCCAGACTGACCTGCCCATTGCGTGGCCTATTAATGCTACGCAGCAACTACGGATAGGCAAATTAAGGAATTTCAAGCCTCACAAGATACTGGCATCAAGTATTTGTCTTTTGCAAGTGGGGTAGACGGGACCGTATTGTAGTATTTCTTGCAGGAAGGTCAACCGTCACCACGTTTGGATAAAATGTGTGACACATCTTTGCGTGTCAATTCAATTCAATTCAATTCAAATATTTGTTTTCCATAAATAGGGTCAATGCCTCTGCAATCCGTCTGTTGCAGTGTACCTATGTCAAGGGTTACTTCATCAGGTGCACCGAATGTTCATTTGCCAACTTTCCACATGAAAAAACAAGTATGGCTACTACTGATTTTGCGTTAGTATTGTTTTGTGAAGGACGGTTGGAAAATAGAGTATCAATTTCGGTAAACAAATAAGACCGCAGTTTGTCTTGTCGGTTTCTCCCTGAAATGGTTTAAGTATTGAACTTTTTCCGTTTAGGAATGTTTAAACTCTACAATACATATTGCTTATGAATTAATGAAAACAAATTAGATTAATACATTAAAATTTTCTTCGATTGGAAGATAAGCCGTATAGTCCAGTGGCTAGAAGCCGGGCGGTAATCGGTGCACGCAGGTTGAAAACTTTTCGTCCATTTTCTACAAAATTTTAGGGTTCCGTACCCAAAGGGTAAAACGGAAACCTATTGCTAAGACTCCACTGTCTGTCTGTTCGTCTGTCACCAGGCTGTATCTCGTGAACCGTGATAGTTAGGCAGTTGAATTTTTCACAGAATTTGTATTTCTGTTTTCCCTCTATAACAACAAATAACAGAATTAAAATATATTAAATCTACCGTGTATTCCGTATGTATTTCTTAATCCTTATAATAAAAGAATATAACCCGTCTCTATGATAGAATCTTAAGAACAGTCTATCCTAGTAAATTAAAAAACATTACTACACACAATGTAATCATTTAAATAGTTTTATTTAGCAATAAGCAAAGTTCGTGAAAGGTCAATGGGATTAGTGAGCACGCGAAAGGTTGTCATGCTGTCTCTACCATTAAACTTTTTACTCTGTCAGAAGTTTTTTTGGTTCATATAAATAATAAGCAAGTCCGTCTGAGGGAATTTCTGATTTATAAATGGACGTCGCTTTCAAAAAGAAAACTGTAATCGTTTCTAATAGCATATTTTCTGTAGGATTAGGATTGATTGAAGGTTTTATACGTAGTGTTGGATTATGTACAACCGATCAGGTTTGTGAATGTTACGTCTTGGTTTAGTTTAAAATTTGTTTGTATTAAATTAATGAATCATTTTTGTCACTATTTCTTTTATTTAAATATGCTACATTTAAAATAAGCTTTTGATTTCCAATAGGATCTAAATGCCAGAATTACTCTGTGAGTTTTGTAACACTCTAAAAAGTATTCGTGGGTTTTTTGCGCCAAGTCTGGACAAGTCGACTGTTTCGCTTTTAAATTGGACCTAATTCGTGCGCCAGCTGGGTTGAAAAGAACTTTTAAAGAGACTTCGATAGAATTTCTTTAATACATCTATTGGTTCTCGCATATCTAAATAAATCTTATTTATGACGATATGCGAGAACGAAATCTTATTAAACAAAACAAAATCACAGGCGGATAAACTTTTTTTTGATCGGCCTCGATGTTATTAAAATATAATTAATGAATCTACATATAAGAAATGAATCTACATTTAAAGTAATATCCGTGTAAAGCGAAGAGAACAGACAAAATAAATATGGAAAAACATTTCTTTGTATAGATACTAACATATGGTTTATATGTCACATAAAAGGTAGTGCGCCCTGTGAGGTATACGTGAGGAGGTATACGTGAGGAGGTATACGTGAGGAGGTATACGTGAGGAGGTATACGTATCACCATCAATTCAGCCTGTTTGAGTCCACTGCTGAATATAAGATATAAGAACGCGGAAGCGTCTATTTGAATAATATTTTTGATTTGATTTGATTTGATTTAGGCCTCCCCCACAGACTGCCACGAAGCACGAAATTGGTAAATGGCAAGTTTAACTAAGCTACCAGCTCTCTCGGTGGTAACTGACAGAGCTATAAAGGAGTCAAAGCCTATGTACTTACATTAAAAAGACAACAATTTCAAGTCGAATTATAAGAGAGCTCCACAAAACGTTTAACAAAAGGAATTGGCATGGCAACAATGTTGTAATAAAGAATGTAATATGTACACTTATTATATTCTATAAATTAGACAGTTCGATGCGACGTCTTTCCTGTGCGATTGTTTTCCCAGAATTGCGACCAGTAACGCGATCTGAGGTCAGGGATAGCTAAGTTATGACGAAACTTATTGGAGGCGGAACATTCGAAGAGATAGGGAAACGCCTGTGTTAATTGATTGCCTATCGATAAAATAATGTACATAAATCGCAATTTTTTTGTTTTTGTGTTGTAACAAGACCTCAAAGAAGACCGGCGTGAAGTGGAAGTGTTTTACTTCTGCGTTTTACTTCTGCGGGGCCAATTTTATTAAAAGGTGGCAACGCATCTGCAAACCTACGGGTGTTGCAAAATGGGCGGCGGTTATCTCTTAACATCAGGTGAAACGCCAGCTCGCTTGTCTTCTTCTAACATAAAAAAAGGTTATGAGACGGTATATGGACGGTATATGGACGGACGGTAAGAACTGAAACTGAGACAGTTTCAGTTCTTGTACAGGCTAGTACCTTAATTCATTCACACATTAGATCTAATAATTGCCGTTAGAATTTATTTATATGGTGAGTTAGCGATGGAGACTTATTCTCAATAAGTATTCCAAAATCACTATAAAGACGCATTTTTATTTGTGACGCATATTTCCTGATCGCAGTTTTAGGTTAACCATTAACTCTTTTTCCCCCTTCTAGAAAATCGTTTTTTTCTATCACAATATATGCCGTTGGTTTTCCAAAGAAATACTTATCACGGGCTCATATGTGAAGAAAACATCGTGAGAAAACCTGCATTTTTGCACAATAATAACACAAACATATTTCGAATGTAAGCGAAATCTGTCAATATGCATCGTTCGTCGCGTGGTAGAACAGGTGTGGTTAAACAGATTAAATTACAATACAATTGAGAATTGAAGATTTTAAAAAGATGTTTATTAAGTAGACTTTATTAATTCAACTTGCAGTCTTTTTCTTCTATTTTCAGTTTGGTAACCAAAGTGACAATATACTATTGTTTCTTTAGTCCTATCCTAATTAGATAAACTGCATGACAATATTCAAACTTGTCATTCTCTTTACATAAAATCGTCACTTGACACAGATTTACTGGTATCATCGTTATCAGTTTAAGTAATTACCACGCTAACGAAGCGCAAATAGACAATACTTACATATGGTCGGGATACTTTTGTCTTTTTTAAATCTTTTATTTGTTCTGTATAAAATATGAATACAATGTATAATATCACTTGTTGTAAACATTTGACTTGTAAAAATTTATTTAGATGAAACGAAATTATTACCTAATTGAAAACGTTTAAGACGTTACGCATTATTGGAAATTGATTAAATTTTAATGTTACTATTACATTTTCAATTCTATATAGGTACATAGCGATCGCTAAGGGCAATTTTATATGCTAAAGAAAGTAGATAAAACACTTAATCATTAACATAGTATAGAATAGAAATTCACATCTTGCATAAATAGCAAAAACACAATTATATTATATTAATGTCGCCGAAATGCGAATCTTAGAGCGACAATCACGTTTAAATACAATTAACTATTTGGTGTTAGAGTTAACGTTAGAACCTTAACTATTGCTAAGCGATGGTTTCGATCAACAGTAATTTGTGAGAAATAAATAATTCTTCTGGATCTGTTTCATTACTTCTTTAAATTTTAGTATCTAAACTGAATAATCTCTTTAGACATTTAATATTTTTATTCGCTCGAATAAAAGACCTTACATGAGCAAACAATTTAATATTAAAAATAAAAAAAAAAACAAAGGGAGCATCGCCGCGTTCAGCGAGCGAGTCTATCGACAAATTGTCGATATATTATCGAGTGCTCGCACCGTGGGCCGTCACTACCGCCGGAGCCGTAGCCGCGTTTTGCGTGCGTACAGACAGCATTACATTCCGCGTATCAGTCAACCAATTGTGATAGCCGGCGCCAAACGCGCCAAACGAAATTAATCCGCCATATTGGATTGATGAATACGTTGTCTGTGGTCGAGCGGGAATATTTACATTAATCAGGTAACTGTGTGCACGTAATTGTATGAGGGTTTGAATTTTTTTTGCGTTAAATCGATAGTTTCAACGAACCCGATGTCTGTGGATGCGTGTGCGATGTCTTACAAGGGAGAAAGGTGGTAAGTTCGAATAGCGATCGTTTCGTAACGTTTTTAAAAAATTTTCATTTATTCGACCATTTATACTATTTAAAAAAATCAGCGTGAGTTAATAAATAAATTAAGATTTAATAAAATCATTATTTCACCTTTGAAGTGAGCATATTGGGAACATGAGCGATTGTGTTGAATTCAATACAAATCATTTAAATAAAAATAATGCACACGCGTTGAAGAAAGAACAAAGCTTTTTTAATATACGGTGTGTTTGAATAATCAACGTTTTGACTATCGCAGCTTTTAATGTGTCGAGAATATTCAGTTTGTTACCATGACTGGAACGTTCCAGACATCATAAAATGTTTGTATCAGTATCAATGCAGCTAATAAACTAATATATTAATCTAATCGATTTGGATAAAGACATCTTTTGCACACCAAATTTTTTTTTTTTAAATTAAAAAAAAAACCTAAATTACTATGCTATTTTAAATTTTAAAAAGTAGGTACTAATTTTCCTTTTTCCAAACTACTTCTGTATAATTCTTAAAACTTATTAACATACTTACACTCAAGTGAAGAAAGTCTCTAAGTTTTGCCAGAGAATAATGTAATAGGCATTATGAAGAAAGGTGAAGAGCGAGAGAAGAGAATATACAAAGATTGAAATGACATTGTACCGTTTTGCAAAATCCAAAAAGTAATTGCGCCAAATATTAAAACACGGAAAATGTATGTTTAAAAGTCCATAGCTAAAATGTTAATACGCTTCATGGGGGATTTCCTTTGTCCATTTTATCAGCCAATATAAATCAAATGTATAATAACTATCCGAAATTCACAACTCACGTATTCATATAATATAAATACTTCGGTATAGTTATAGGCAGTTTTATGACCAGTAACCAATCAAATTATTGTTTTTATGCTTTCGGATAATTTAATTTTGATCGCCCAATTAATTACGTTGTATCGTGCACGCCACGGATTTCGGAACTGTGAACTAGGATTAATACCTCACCAAGTAAGCCATCATTCTAACGACTAAGGGGGAAAGGTTAATAAAAATCATAACAATCCTTAGGATCTTGAGTTTTCATTACTTATTTTGATACCTGCTTTGATTTGTTATCTCCATATGAGTTTTCTTTTAGACCTGTAGTTCTAGCCTATTCGCTTCAAGCCAAGAGAATGTTTACCCCATAAACAAACTCCTAATTATTGGTGACGCCAAGGAGTTTTGTGTATCTATAGATAACATCATCTAGAAAAACAATACGATTCGATGTCAAAATAACTTTTACGATAATAAAAAATACGTAACTTAGATACCATATTATAATGGCAGATGAGTCGCAATTATTTATCCAGATGCGTTTCATTAGCAAAATGTTAATTAGATGAGTTGTAACCTATCAATTTGTTTGCCACTATCCCACTTTTTAACCGACTTCAAAAAAGAAGGAGGTTTCTCAATTCGACCGTATACATTTTTATTTTTGTTTATGTGTGTTCGGGGATAACTTCGTTATTTTTGAACTAATTTTGATGATTCTTTTTTGTTCGAAGGAGATATCCCAAGGGTGGTTCCATGATAAGGAAACCCAGATCTGATGATGGCATCCCAGAGAAATCGAGGGCAATCCTCAAATGTTCTAGGAGTTGACAATGTTGTCTTACTTTCCTGTTTGATGTAGTTTTTTTTTTGTTCAAAATTGTAATAGGGCGGCTTCTGAAAACGAATCAGAATAGGACGTTTTAGGTTATTTTAACGATTAAATTTTAATTGTATCAACAATAATTCGTATATGTTGTTTTTTCAATCTACTACTATGGTGTGTAATGGAGGTGAGAGAACTACGAGTACCTAGATCTATAATAGTAAACTAAAGTAACAGCCTGTACAAGTCCCACTGCTGGACAAAGGCCTCCGTGCAGGGGGTATTAGGGCATAGTCTAACACGCGTCCCCACTGCGGATTGGCGGATTTCATATATGTTAGAAACATTTTTTGTTGTTATTTCGAAAATATGAAAGTTTCCTCACGATGTTACTACTCACTTCTCCGCTGAGCACGTGATAAATCAGCACTTAAAATTAGCAATTTCATTGGTGCCGGCACCGGAATTTTATCTCAGTTGGCTCGAGAACTTAAATGCGAGCGCCCGGAAAATTTGCTAACACGGCTTAAACTAAACAATGTATGGAAGAAAAGTACATCAAAAAGTACATTAGTTTATATTCTTAGAAGCCTTGAGCTATTTCAGTTGGCTAAAAATAAACAAGTTATCGTTTCAATTTGTAAATACACGACAGATTAGCAGAAGTTATCGTAGGTACGTAAATAATTAATTGTTGAAAGTGGAGGCTATTCCAAGCCTAACCTTCAGCACTCTTTGTCTGACGAAACAATAACTCTGAATGAACCAAGATCTTGTATAGGACACATGCAAGAGAATCAAACACCTTCGCGTTTTAAGTAGAAAAATGTGTTCAGCATATTGTAATTCATATTTAATTACTATATGTAAATAAAACAATGAAAATATTATAGACGAGCCGTGATAGCTCAGTGTCCGGGCGCTCGCCTTTAATTCAATATACTCGAGCAACCTGAGTACGATCCCCGGTGCCGGCACCAATGGAGTTTTTAACTTTAAGTGCTGACTTATCACGTGCTCCGCGGTGAAGGAAAACATCGTGAGAAAACCTGCAAATTTTCGAAATAATAACAAAAAATCATATATTTCGAAGATATGTGAAGTCCGCCATCCGCAGTGGGTCCGCGTTGGGGACAATGCCCCGATACCCTCTGTATAGAGGAGGCCTTTGCCCAGCCGTGGGACATGTATAGGCTGTAACTTTGTTTAAATCTGATGACGCAGATTTTGGAAATTTTATTTTCTCTCTTTTATGATTAATTTTATTTTTAGTGCTAGTCACTGTTCTGAAGATAAAACTTAAAATGGCAACATTTATAAATAATTTGTCGAAAATTAAAACGTTATAAACATAGTATGTATAAATTAGCGCTACGGCGTACTAACTAAACTCGCATAGAGTCAGATAAAGCATTTTATTTAGCAATGTTAATTCTTGTATGTAAAGCTAATTTACATTAATTGTCCCGCATAAAATATTATTTTCCATATATACTTGTCTTTTTTTTATTTTACTTGCGTTTGCGTCAATCTGTGACCGATGCATTTAAGAAGAAAATTTAAAAATATATATTTAAAAAAATCGAAAAGCATTTTTAATCGTTGCGTTTTGGTTACCCTCAACTCTAGCTGATGAAGTCATAATTAATTGACTCGACTAGCGCAGTTTTTACGCTCGACGTAACCTTGCCATAGATTCAAACCCTATATTCCGGTCTATAACGTCATACAAAGAATTTTACCATGTATACTTATTTGTCCACATTTAGTTATCTTTTTGCAATAGGCGACTATTCTATCCACCGGCAAAAGTCATGTTTTTTAGACAACTTTACGGCATTGTTACGTGGGATAAGAATTCTAAATTAAATAAAAATAAATGTTATATCTGTCTCCGTTACATATTTGTGACGCATCGATTATTTCCTAGTACGGGATCAAACAAACTGAGATCGCGCATCAACCAGTTTGTCATTACGCAATGTGGTTATTAAAATATTATCGTAGCTGACGTGCGATGGAACAATTGATTTCGTAATATGCGAAATTTGCATACAAGGAATACACCATTGGATGGGAATCATGCGATGCCGTAGAGTATATTAATAACACAGAAAAATAATTGCCGCAGGATTTTACACAGAACTTTACACCATGTTTCTTAAACACTGATCATCGTAGAAATTAACTAATCAGCTGTCAAATCACATTTGAGTTGCCAAAAGGATATATACAAGAATTGCTCGTTCCTTTATGGATCCCCCGCCACCTTGTGGGTAGACAGCGAGGGTATGTGGGAGTCCCCAGGACACGGGGGTACCCACTAAAAACCCACGTTGCACCTGCGCAGTCGCTTTTGCCGGGGACACGGGAACACGAAAACGCAATCTTCCGCGAACCCCGGCGCGACTGTGGCCTTCTAAGGCCTCCTCTCTCCGGGTCTTTAGACACCCGGTCCAGCCAAATGGTGCCGTATCGGTGCAAGGGACACGGCACCCCTCTCGATCCCCCTACGGGGCAGCAGTTAATCCCACATCTGCCGCCCCAGGGCTCACTATCAGGGGGGAAGGTTGCGCGCGTAGGCCGGCCTCCTGCGCCCTGGTCTCCGGCGGCGGATTTCCAGGGTGGCAGTTGCCTCCCTTTCTCGCTCCGCGGCCTCCTTCCGGGTGACTATGTCCTCACAAAAAGCAAGGACCGCACCCCACGCCCCTCTCGCTGTCCACCATAGCACGAACCACGGCAGGCAGCGAGAGGTCGTGCCCCACGATAGCGCACAGCTCTCGGCGCTGCTCCATCCAGGCTGGGCACTCTTCCAGCGCGTGTTGGGCCGTCTCCTCGGCACATACGTCACAGTGGTGGCATTCCGCTGTGGGCTCCCTCTTCGCCACGCGAAACAGGTACCTCCCGAAACAACCATGTCCCGAGAGGACCTGCGTCGCGCGGTAGGTGAGGGCGCCGTATTGCCTGTCCAGCCACCTACTGAGGACAGGACACCGATGGTACGGCGCAGGTAAAGGGGCACTCCATGATACCGGAGCGCCTCTCTGATGCAAGCCCAGGGCAGGGTATTGAAGGCATTGGCGATGTCAAGAGACACCGCCAAGACGACCTCACCCTGGGAAACTGCTTCCTGCGTGAGGGACCTCACTCTCAGCACCGCGTGTATTGTCGATCGACCCTTGCGGAACCCAAACTGCCTATCAGAAAGATTAGGGCCGACATGCTCCAGATGACCGATGATGCG